AGGTCGCCACACCCTGTCTTTTTATTATTTAAGTTATATTTTTCATTTATTTCAAAACAAAAATACCCACAATTATGATCCTGTTTAAGCTATAACTTATTACTTACTGTTAATTAATAATAATGATCAGGACTATTTTTCAGAGCTAAAATATTATGACATTGATAATATAATACTTTGCCTTGCTTTTTTAATTTATTAGTAACTAATTTATCTAAAATAGTTCACAGACTAATATCTTCATACAATCAATTATTGTTTTTCTCAATTAATTTTTTTTGTTGTTGTTTTGAACATAAATTTTTACTTATTTTATTCATAAGTTCTAAATAGGCTTTATTTGCATTATTATGTAAAGCCAATAATTTTATTACTATTTCTACTTCTGTGCTATAATGTGCTTGACATGCAGCAATTACTTTATCATATACTTAAAGGCTAAAATTAATAATAGATAATAACCTATGTACACTCTCAATAAATAGTTATACTAGTAAAGTATCCTTAATGTTAGAAAGTATAATCTTTGTTATAATACAGACTGAACATTTATGCATATCAAAGTTATTTTTAAGATTATTTTTTAGAGAAAAGTTTGGACATTCTTCTACATACTCTTCTAGCCCATTACCGACTCTTTCACATCTACTATTACTATTACAATAAAGAATCCACTGCTATACTATCAAATCTGAAACAATATTTTGCTTGAATTTTGCTATATGTTCATAATCTTTGTCAATAAGTTCAATTATATCTTCTATTTATTTGTTAACTTTTTTAGTTTTTGCACTGTTTTCCATATAAGTTAGTTAACAGCACTCTCAACATGTTTTAAAGTAATAAGCTTAGAGTTAATATTTTCATTTACATAAAGCCAACTTTGTTTTCTAAGCTTGCAATTTACTAACAACAGCAACGAGTTAATATAGGTTTTAACAGCATGACCAAAAGGCATACTAACATTTCTATTATCATTAACATGACATTAAGAAAAAAGACATTGTGTATTTATTTTTTAAAATACTTTTATAAGTTTGTATAAGGCACATACTAGTAGTGATTCAAATAAAAAAAAAATCAAAAAAAAAAATCATAAATCAGCTTTTTATAGTGCATCAAACTATGATCATTATAATATTATCATATAGTATAATTGTGATAATATAAAATATAATCAAATGATTATTAGTGTTTTAAACAAGAGATTATTGATTTAATCAGCTTGTATATAAGAACCAATTATTAGAATAAAGCTGATCAAGCTGATACTACTCTAGCTTAAAATATTAACTAGATTATATTTAAATATAATTCAGTAAAAATGTTTGATACTTTTATTACTTAATAGCTTTTAACTGAATAAATATTTTTGAACATAATTTTTTTAAGATTAACATGTAATATTAAACCTTGCTTTACTCGATATACTGTATAGTATTATGAAATTCTAATTATATACTTAAAGCTTTATTTTGGTATCAAATATTTAAAAATAAAAATGAATTCTTTAAAATGTAATCTTTATTTTAATTAGAACTAGAAAATGTCAAATACAATAAATAAAGAAAAAAATAGTCTAATAATATATTTATATATATATATATCAGTATTGGCATATACATATATACATATGCATATATATTAAGGATTAGATTGTGTAATCACAGATTGCAGATGTAGTCACCCTATCAAGAAAATTAGACAATATCAAAAATAGTATACAAAAAATATTTTTTTTTACTTCATCAAAAAAAGTACTAATGATCTATCAAGATTGGTATTTTTGCTAAAAAATTTGATATTTGTAAAATTTCTTATTGATATAAATTTTTTAAAGTTTGCTGATCTGCCTAAAATAAACTACACAGATTTAAAATTTGATATTAGAGATTTTTTTGGATATAGTATAATATTTGTACATTTATAGGCTTTAAATATAAAATACTAAACAAAAAGTTTTTATATTAAAATATATAATTAAATGGGTATATTCAATTCTATTTAAAATATATAACATTTGACTATTAAACATTGTTGTATATTCTATTTAGTAAAAAGAATTTGCCAATTTTTAATTAACATTAAAATTTTTTTATATTTAATATACAGACTATATATTTGTTACAAAACTGGCTCTTTATTTCAATTAAGTAGTATACATATAGTATATATTGTTTTTTCTTTATTTATTAATAACTCTTGAACTTGCAGATTATTTAACTTAAAAAGTGCAAAATGGTTTTTGTCTTAGTACAATTTATATTTTGCTATATATTAGTTAATGTTTTATTAATATATTGTTTTATTTTAAAAACTTACAAGCTACATTGATCTTTTAAAACTTGTTGCAAAATAAAATAGACTTCTAAATTACAATGCATAATTAAAAATAAAGTGTACCCAAATTTAGCATATAAGTGATTACCTGTAAAGAATATCTAATTTTTGAAACTATTATAGAAAACTTATTAATTTGAATATATATAGAAAAAAAGAAATATTAGTTAGTATTTCTGATATAATTTCTTGATTATAAAATTCAAAAGCTCCTATGTCTAAATACTCTATTTGGGTTTTAAATATTTTTAATATACTTAGTTAATAGCAACTAAAGATATGTACTTAATATTATTTATTTTTCTTTTTACTGTATATAAAAAGCTTAGTTGCAATAAGTTAAAAAGTCTATTAACAATAGATAAAAAAAATTATAATTATTTATTTTAGTTATTATATTTATATATATATTTTAAATTTGAAAATTATCAATTTTGTACATATGGCCTATAATGAAAATTAGAATTTATTTATTTCTTATTTATAAGTTGTATAATATATTTTCTATTTTTTTTTTTGGTATTAAGGTAAGGTCATGCTCTTTAGTCTTTATTAGTATATTTATTATACCTAGTACAATCTATTTATACATCATCTATTACTATATATCTATTCAGACATAGAACTCAAATATATTTATCTGCAATTTAAATCTACTAGAGTTTTGTATTGTGTTCTACTCACACCTAATCTAGATTTTTGTTTTACTACTAATTATATTAGATAACTTACATATTCTTCTTATATCTTACAACTTATTTTTAATATTACTAAGTTGTTTGCTCTTTTTGAGTTACCATCTTTGGTTTGCCCAAAGAGTGCCTTTTTAGTATATATCTTAAGCTAGATTCTTCTGCTGTTACTGCTAACTTCCTAATTCAGGTATTAGTAGTATATATTTCAAGTTAGGTTTTTGCTATTGCAGCTGGTTTGTAATCCTTCTTAATCTTAGTATTATTTTTAATAAATGGTATATCTAACCTGCCTCTTAAGTACTTTCTTTTATGGTATAGATAAAACTTTATTTCAAGAATGAGTACACATTCTTTTCTAGCTATTGACTAATGTTTCTACTACTGTTATACAATGCTACAGGTTTTTCTTTGTTCTGTTTCCAATTATGTGCAATCCTTTTGCCTTTTTAAGAATATTTTAGCCTAAATTTACATTTAAACTAAGGTATTTACATCATATTCAAATAGGTTTCTACTTCCAATTTAGGTATTTCAATCATGATTGATACAGTATTTATATTGGTATGTTCTATTTGTTTTACTATAGTCTTCTATATAAATGTTATTAGAGCTTCAGTTTGAAACCTTTAGACATATAGGACAGGCTACAACTTTTTTATATAAATGGTTACTTTCTATTCTTAGTTATTTCACAATGCCAAAGATGCTTTTAATCTTAATAAAACTAATCCTTTGTTACAAACCTTTTATATATATACCACTTTTCTTATTACTCCAGTTCATGTTACCTTAATATTATTTTTTCAATCAAGTACTCTACAAGTTGGATGTAGAGATATTAGTACTGTTTTGTTTCAGAGAACTTACATGCATAACTCTTTGTATAATAAAACTTTTTGTAATGCTTCTGTTACACATAATGCCTACATTCTGCAAAGTTAGTTTCTTTTCAGGAATTCCTTTTTTCATTATGTATTATATTTGAACTTGACATGTTTAATTACAAGCTCTTTATAAATTACAGAAGCTAAAATTTTTTGATATTTGCCTTCAGCCAGACTTGAACTATTGACTTTGACTATAGGAGTATGAGTGCTTAACCATTAAACTATGGAATTCATGCTCTATTTCTATTTTTTAATATTTTAAAATAATATAATTTTTTATGAATAAATTTATTTAGCGCATGATGTGATATATATTATATGCCACCTTTATATAAATCACGTGATACTAAATTTATATTATATACAATATATCGATATAATTAAAATTTTGCTTATATGATATACCAAATCTAATTCTAAATATATTACATTTTATTTTGCTAATTAAAATGGTCATTATAACCACTATTTTCGATATTACAGTAAATATATAATATAGTATACTATTTTCAATATTACAATAGAAGTAGAATTTGATTGTTAATTAGGAAGGTTCAATTATACATAGTAAGACCATAATAAATAATATAAATCAAGAGCAAAACAATTCAATTTGCTTTTGGTTTGTTTAACATTAAGCTGCTTAAAGTTAAATAGACTGTTAATAACAATAGTCAATATTTAAGATTCAGCAAAGAAGATCTCAGAACAACTTATATTACAACACATTTGAATTAGTCTTTTAAGTAAATTAAAAATAAAACACTACTGCACTAATACTAGTTAACTGAACAGCCTAGCTATTACAGTAGACTTCTAATTACATTGCATTTTTCTTATTAGAGCATTTAGAAGCATAATGACCTGATTTATGACATAATCTACATTTACATCTAGTTTCGCCATCACTATCAGCAGTATTATAAGATGCCTATTGTTTTCTATTACTACTAACCTTATTTGTTTCTTTATTAAAAGCTTTTAATCATTTATTTGGAGGTCTATCTTTACCTCTGCACACTACTGGATCTTTAATATTATCATATGCTTGATTTTCTTTAACAGACACTGGTTGAGTTTAAACATTTCGAACTTCTTCTTTTTTAGTAATATAGTTTAAGATAAGTTTATTCAAGACATTTTGATCATTATCTTCCATTGAGTAGCTTAATGCTTTCTTAAAATGACCTATTAAATGACCATAATCCATTTTTTTTTGTAAATAGTTTCGGACCTGAATTTCTTGAACATTATAATAATGCCTAGGAATAAGTTTTTGTATGTTATTATCACCTTGATGTTGCAAAGATGATGTGCCAATAAATGGCTCATCATATATTGAATCAATACATCTCCAAGCATCATTATGTAACCATCTTGTTGGCATTAACATAATATAAAATAATGCATTCACATTCTCCATCATTAACTTGAAATAGTAGTGACAAATAACTTTGTGTGAAACTAACAATAGACATGTGCACAAATGTGTATTATCATTAAGCATAACAATATGTTGGTACAAATTTGATGCCATGTATGGAATAACTTTCCAGACTTCTTTAATTGCTCTTTTGAGACCAATTTTAAAAGTTCTTTTAAACATGTTTGCCAATAATCATAAAAATCTTCAATGTTTTCTGTTATTTCTTCATTATGACTCTGATTCTAGTGTAGAAATCTTTATATTATAACTAAATGCAATGCACAAAAAATAAAAAAAAACTTGCCTTCTGACTATTAATTAGTTCATTTTCATTTAAATCTAATTGACCTTCAAGAGCATGATTAATATCCAACTTTTCACATTTGTATAGTACTGATTCACACATTTGTTTGTTAATTTCTTTAGCAATTCATAGTGTGAAGTACTTTTGAATTATATTATTAACATTACTAAAAAGCCGCTCAATGATAAATGATTAATGATTACTTATTGATTTGTGCTTCCATTCTATAAAATTTTTATTTAATTCTTATGAAGCTTTAAAGCTTCAACTACATCTGACATACTAGAGCTAGAAGCAACTGCTTTATGAATAATAGCATTAATTGATTCAACACATGAGGTAGATTGCATGCCTGCTGTAAATATTCTACTTATAAATGATTTAGCCCATAATTGCCATGTTAAATAAATAGGATGACTCAAATATTTGTTGGCACTTGAATACTTTTCTAGTAAAGATTGAAATCGGTACTTAAAAACTTCAATACTTAAAGAATTCTGTGCTTTCCAAAAATCACAAATAAATTCTTTAAAATTTTCGCTTCCAAGTTTTACCTTAAGCTGTTTAGGCAAATTTTGAGACAGATGCCAGATACAGTGAACATGATAAGAATTCATATATTTTACTTGACATGCCGCATCCATTGCAGAATTCATGTCAGTCATTATAACCCGTGGCTCAAAACCAGTTGCATTCAAGGTTTGTTGTAGGACCCATTCATATCTTTTCTGAGTTTCATCACTTAAAAATGCCTGTGCTGCCAACTGTGATTTATCATTATTATCAATAAGAATGAATAAAGATAAAGGAAAATTGTATTTATTAGTTCTTGAAGTATTGTCATGTAAAATGACATTAGAGTATCGAGACTATAACATAATTTGGTTTGCTGTCATCCAAAAAATACCACTTAGCTGATTATTATCTGTATTTATTAATGGTTGAATGAACATCGTAGGATCTTCTTTTTGCTGTTCAAGTAGAAATTTTAGTAAGTGCGATGCATCAGATCCAACAACATTTTTTTCATACTTGATTTTTTGAATTGCATTTGATAAATCTTGTGTAAGGAAAAGTTGACCAGGAAACAAAAACTGTAATAAATTTCTTATGGTATAAGCATTGCAATGACCATATACAACTGCATATTTAATTTCATTTATTATAAACTCATCAAATTTTTAAAATGCTGTGGCAAATCTCAGATTATTAGCACTAATATTATGGTTATGCTCAAGATATACAAGTATTATGTGTACAAAATTGCTGATTTCCAGGTTATTCAAGTTAACATGCTATTTACAGTTAGTTTTTTTTGATCCTTTGTTATGTTGTTGCTCTATCAGTTTTGTCTTGTTAGGTTTATACTTTTTAGCATTCTCACATACATACTGTATGTTCTTTTTTTAACAGGATCATTTAACAGAGTCAAATGAGATTTGTGATATTTAACTCTATACTAGTTTACCACAAATCCTTTCTGGTAGCCATACTTTTTTAAGTAGTGCTCTGCGATTGCCCAAGAATTAAATCATGTTTCAACAAATAATTCTATAGGTTGATTTATATTAAGGTCAAGACCTTCCAACTCTAACCCAAAAACAGGTGTATTAATTTCACTATTGCTTTCAAGAGTTATAAAGCCTAAAAAGCTAAGTGTTAATAATTCACTATATTGTTATACTTTCTGATTAGTACATTAAACTAACCTTGATTAATTTCTTTAGTTTCATTTTCCATATTTTCGTCTTTCATATTTTCACCTTCTACAGCTTCACTAACTTTACCTTCTATATCAACAAGCTCAACTTCTACATCACCACCTTCCACAGATTTATCTTTCACAAGTTCAACTTCTATATGTTCATCTTCTTTAGACTTATCTTCTAAAGGTTCGAAAGCTTTACCTTCTACATGCTTGGTTTTCATGCATATAATTTTTACATATTCATCTTTTGTAGTTTCATTCTCTACATGTTTGTTTTCTATCAATGTACCAAGTCTGGGTTTATCTTGCAGCATAGATTTACCTTCAAATAGTTTTTTGAAACATGCAAGCAAGAGGTTTGTAAAAATAAGTATATGTATTTTAATCCTTTGCAAAAATCAACTATATCATTATTTACTTATATAAGACTATAAGTTCTTAATTAACTTTCTATTTTATACAGAGTACAAAGATATTTGTTTATTGCTGTATTGTTTATGTATATTCATATGTAAGGGGTATTTTAGCAAAAGAAAAAAAAAAAAGCATTGTCTCTCTTTATATTTGTTTACCTCCTGCACAATTAAACTCTATTGTGATTATTGTAATATAATCACTAATATTTCTAATCTCCGATCTGTATCATGATGTGATATACTACACCCTGCTTTAAATAAATTTACTCATTTTTTATTATTTGAATATTAAATAATTTTTTTTTTTTTATAGTTAAAGTTTCTATCTTGAAGATGCAACATTTTTATTCAAGTATATTAGAACATAACATGTCACCAGAGGCTCACCTTACATTGAAGGTTACAACTAGCTATACATACACTTTTGGTGCCTAATTTAAGTAGTCTGCTTACACATTGCTATATAAGTTCTATACTAGTTGCTATACTTGCAAGCTGATTAGAGGTCTTGCCTATTTAAACCCTCTGCATATGTAGTCCTTCTTGTATCACAAGAATATCTTAAGGCTACATCCATTCAAGTTCTTAATGTTTGTTGTTATCCTTAGAACTAGTTTATCCTTAACAGAAAACTTACTAGAACTTTTATGTCCTATACATATAAACCTAGTTTTATGCAACATACTATAGTTATCTAACACTTGCAGTTATAGGAGTTACCTGTTTAACTATTATATTATACTATTTCTATTCTTGTAAAGTTCACTAGAACTTCAGTACCTATCTTTTTAGCATCTTCTCTATTATCTTTTACTAGTTGCAACTCAGAACCATCAGTCTTATTTTAAACTACCAATCCAGATGGCCTGATATGGTATACTCTGTATTCTTTTTTTCTAACAAATCCTGCAGCCTGGTTGGTTATATGCTTCTCTATACATATTTGATATTTGGTTTTAACCTTTGGTTCCTATGAAGGTGTTTTGTGAGCTTCAACCAGTCTGATGATACTATCAAAAGTTCATGCTACTTCTTTATTCAGGAATTTTTAAGTAGGTTTTTATCACTTCAGTTCCTTAGTCTTCTATGCCTAATGGTCTTATTATAGGTTTGCACTAAAGTCTTATGCAACATCGGTTATATATTCTTCTATATATGTATAATGTTACACTTTACATAGATGTCCAAGCTCCTAATAGCAGTAGGACCTAACTTGGTATACCTGAGTAACAGCCAAATAAGGCCAACCAATCAACAGAAAACAGTTACTATAATGCAAATATAATTTCCAAATTTTGTCATAAGTAGGATTTGAATCTTAAACCTGCCACTTGAAGGATGACAATCTAACCACTATACTAGGATCACCATCCTTTATTAAGTAATTTTTGATATTATATATATATATATTTTTTTTTATTTTTTTTTTTTACTAAGGCCATACTTGTAGCGATACTTTATTGACTTTATATTGGGTTAGCTATTACAACTATTTTTACAGAGATAAGAGTACAGCTAGTCACATGTGCAAATTTTGATTGTCTATTTAAGTAGTCTGCCCTAAGGTTCTACACTAGATGCTGTACCTATAACCTACTAGGAGATTATCCATTTAAACCTTCTGATCATCCACCCTGTTATATTGGAATCTCCAAACTAACCCCCCATATATACCTACTCAGTATACCGTCTGAGCAGTATAGTACCTACCCTTTTTGTACTAGTTTTCAGGCCATTACATATTTCAGAATATGTCATCTGCCAGTAAGGCACAAGAGGCCTTCTGTTGTTAACTATCTATCTACTTTTAGAACACTAACATGAGCTATCCTTACAGAGTTCACCCAGACCCCAGTACTGACTTTACAGCATATCCCTAGTACTTTTAGTATACCTCTGCTTTGAACCCAGACTCCCAATCTAGATAGCCCAGAAGGACTAAAACTGTTCATGGTATATTGAGGCCAACCCAATATCCTTTTCTTCCAGTCTGAAATTCTGTGGCCTGGTTGGTGATACCTCTTACCCAAGGTTCTTGCCTGCCCAAATCCTTCACATTAGTATCCATTTCCTAGATCTAGTCTTTACAGTAGTACTGTCAAAGATCCGTATTACCTCTCTGCTTAGAATTTCCAAGTGGGCTCTAGCTTTTCAGTTCTACAGATTTATACAGCCTAAGGACTTATTTTAGGTTTGCACTGCCCGGTACTGGTTTGCATTCCTCTGTATAACCGGTTACACAGATGCCCCAGACCTGCCAGTCATGCTGGTGCGACCATAGTTACAGGTATCCTATTCCAACTGATCAACAGAATGCTGTTGTCATAATACCGTCTATATATTACATAGGTGATTATTTAAATTTTGTCATCGGTGGGTTTTGAACTCACAACCTACTACTTGGGAGTATGACAACTTATCCACTTTACTAAGTCATCATACCCTTATATATTTATTAAATATTATTATTAAATGTTAATTATTTTGAGTCCTTTAATTGCAATTTGTTACTTAATTAATTAATTAGTTATAACTAATTAATTAATTAGTTACAACTTATTAAATTATTAATTAATTAAAAAAATCCAATTATTTATATTATTATTATATTTAGTTTCAATATTTTTTTTTTAATCTTAAGCAGTTATGCTAGTATTTTATTAAGATTCTTGAAACTAAATACATTTATAATTATATAAAATTTCCTAATACTTAAGTCTAGCATCACTCGGCCACCCTATTGGTATCTAAGTACAATCTGTCGCACTATCTCAGTTAGAGATAGACTGCTCATCTAACTACTTAAAGCCATACCAGAAAGGTTTTCTCCTTTCTGTAACAAGCATATCGATTGTTTTTAAAACTTCTTCCTTTATTCAGTTTGTTTTTTCTACTTTCTTTTCCTTTTCTTCTTTCTTTGCCATCTTATTCTTTTTTGCTCTTTTCTCTGATCTTCTTTTAATTCGAGCATCTTTTTTTATCTTGTTTGTTATATTAACTTCCTTTTTCTATTCTTGTACTTTCTTGTATTGAACTCTTTATATTTGGTCAAAGAATGTATTCCACACTGTTTTTGTGACTATATTTATGCATTTTTGTGTTGCCTGGCTATTTAAAATCTGACTGATCTGCTTTCCAACTTTATTCATT